GGGAGGCTCTAAAAGTCTGAAACACAATTGTCCCGTTGGTCAAGCATGTTATGTCTCGTCTCCTGGCACTGGTACATTTGACCACAAGGTCGGGGTTCTCTTAGCAAGAGAAAGTGGGGGGTGGGGGTGGGGATGCCTATGGACAGATAACTAGCAAGATCTTCCGCAGGTCCCTTTTTGCTGAGTAACTGTATATTTTCTTTTTTTTCTTTTTTTTTTAATTTTTTTTTCAACGTTTATTTATTTTTGGGACAGAGAGAGACAGAGCATGAACGGGGGAGGGGCAGAGAGAGAGGGAGACACAGAATCGGAAACAGGCTCCAGGCTCTGAGCCATCAGCCCAGAGCCCGACGCGGGGCTCGAACTCACGGACCGCGAGATGGTGACCTGGCTGAAGTCGGATGCTTAGCCGACTGCGCCACCCAGGCGCCCCTATATTTTCAAACTTCCAAATGGTGGGACACTTTGAACCCCCCCAGGTTTCTATGACAAACTTGTAGTTTTGAACCACAACTGGAAATGTCTCAGATATCTGTAACAACCTGGAGACCTTAATTCAAGCCTAGATTCACTAGAATCTCTGGGACACTAGTCATATTATTAGACTCTAATCTCTATTATCTTTAACATCTGGCAAAGTGTGTGTCTTACAATGTGTTTCAATAATATTTAAGTGAGTGGATAAACTCTTAGAATCTCTGAAAAATCTTAGATAGTTAGGAGAAGCTACCTCATATTCAAATTATAATCATGGCTCAAGATTGTGCTGCAAGAATTTTTCTGATTAGCCAGGAAGTGATCCAAAAAGGGAGGATACTTCCTCAGCTCTTACAGAATAATAGGCAATTCCATAAATGAGCATTTTTGTAAAAATTAAGGGCAACTTACTAGTAATGTGCTATGCAACTATTGAAGGTTATTAAAATCGTTCTATATCTAGAGTTCACTGAGACACATGCTATTAATGAGTCTGCCACCAGATTGGCAAGGTAATTCTTGCATTCGAACTCAAGCATATGTTAGGAGTTTAAACAAATTTCTAGAAGGACTTCTTGACATAAGTGCATCATATCTTAAATGAGTTGTATTTTTTTTACAATTACTTCTTCTTAAAAAAAAAATCAAAGTAACATCTACATAGTTTCAAATGTCAAATTGAATTTCAAGGCTGTTAACCCCCAGCATTAGTCCTCTTTCCCCTTTCACCAGAATCCCACCTCCCAGAAGCAGCCATAATCAGTAATGTTAGCTGTTCCTTCTGGTATTTTTTAATATTTACCTCTTTTTTTTTTTTTTCAATGTGTATTTCTTTACTTTGAAGAGAGAGACAGAGAGTGGGAGCAGGGAAGTGGCAGAGAGAGGGAGAGAGAAAATGCCATGCTGTCAGCGCATGGCCAGATACTGGGCTCAATCACATGAGCCGTGAGATCATGGCCTGAGCCTAAGAGTCGGACACTTAACCTACTGAGCCACCCAAGCGTCCCTGTATTTCCCTGTTTCTAAGTAGCATACCCACACTTAAGTTACTGATTTTGTTTTTCAATTAAGACTTTATGTATTAATCTCCTATTATTTTGTTATTCTTTCATTGTCCTGGTCATCCATTAGGCCCTTGGAACCAGGAATCTTACATCCTTCAGTTCTGGGAAGTTTTCCTGTATTATTTCTGTGAAATTGTGGTTTGTAATAAGAAAAGTGTTCTTGGTTTCTGTCCTCTTCCTGACAATGAGCTCCTACAACCCTTGCATTTTCCCAAGTGATAAGGGCTATAAAAGTGAAGTGGGGGAGGTGGGGCAGATATAGAGGAAGGTGGAAGGAGAGGTTTTGTTATTCATAAGAGCCTATTTCAACCACACCTGAAGTTATGTTAATGAGGCAAACTTTTGGAAAGACCCTAAGGAGGAGAGGGAGCTGGTTGCTAGGGAAACCATCTTTGGATTAGAGGGTTCAGGCCCAACTCCTACTTTTGGGGAGGGAAGAGGGACTGGCACTCGACTTAACCAGCAATGGCCAATGTTTTCATCAGTCACACCTACAAAGTGAAACCCAAGGAGGGCATCATGGGAACCCTGATTTATAGCTGATCGGTCAGAAGCACAGGTGACAACCTGTGATCGGTGTCTCAAGTGGGAAGTAGTTTATAGGGCTGCGTCCTTAACTTTTGGGATCTGATGCTAATTCAGGGTAAATAGTGTTAGAATTGAATTGAGTTGGAGGACACTGGGTTGGAATAGAGAGTTAGAGATTTGGATGGTGTGGGAAACCCTCTTCCCCAGTTTGGTGGCCAGGAGTAAATAGTGTAGAAAGAAGAAATAGACTTTACACTTCTTTGATGATTTCTTCCTATTTATTCTCTCTTTGTGGAAATTTTTGTGTGTTTGGTGTTTTACCTCCTGGTTGAGCCTTTAAACCCACCCCCTCTCCCATCCCTGGCTGCCCTTTCCTTCCATATTAATTTCCTTAGCTTATTTGTTTATTTGTTTTTTGCTTTATCTTTTATGGAGATTTCTTTAACTTTTCCAAGTCTTCTATTGACTCTATTTCTTTTTCTTTCTTTTTTTTTTTTTAAGTTTATTCAATTATTTTGAGAAAGAGAAAGAGCGCATGCTCGCAAATGGGGGAGGGGCAGAGAGAGAGGGAGAGAGAGGATCCCAAGAAGGCTCAGCACTGGTCAGTGCAGAACCTGACTTGGGGCTTGATTCCACAAACCATGAGATCATGACCTGAGCCCAAGAGTCAGAAAATTAACCAACTGAGCCACCCAGGTGACCTCTTTATGTCTATTATATGATTAATTCCTAAGGATTCTTTCTTATTCTCTATTACCTTTTTATGGTAGGATTTTCCTTCACCTTATAAAATTCCTCTTTTTAATCTTTGTGAAGATATTGAGTACAATACTTATTTTAAAGTTTTTTATGTTCTATGAGTTATCTTTTTCTCCAAATGTCTTTTTTATATTTGTTTGTGTTGGTCTCTACTGCATGGGCTAGTTGGAGCTGGGGGCTTTGTCTCTCTGTTTGCATTTATGAGTGAAAGCTCTAGGCTGTTGATTGAAAACCGTGTGGGGTTGGCTCATTGACTGGTGGGTTTCCGATGATGATCAGGCCCATCATATCGGTCTTTTGTTGGGAACTCTCAAAACTTGATTTTTCACCTGAACTAAAAGCTAATCCATTTTTTTCCAGAGAAAAATTTTTCAAGTTTTATCTGGGGGATCTCCAGCTTTTATGCTGGCATTCTGAAAGTGAGGTAGGAGAAGGAAGCTGAGGTCTTCTCATTCAGTATGCAGAACTTTTCTCTTCATTTTCCTTCTTCTTCTTTTTTTTTAATGTTTATTTATTTATTTTGAGAGAAAGAGAGCATGAACAGGAAAGGAGCAGAGAGAGGAAGAGAGAGAATCCCAAGTGCTGGAAGGGCCGTGAAAGAATTCATTCAAGACAGACCAAAGGAGACAGAAGTTTACTGAATATATTTCAAGGGAGCCGTGAGCAGGACAGCAAAGGAGATGCTGTCTTTCATGAGGCAGTGGGTCAGGGCTGTTTCTAAAGGGGGAAGGTTGGGGGTGCCTGGGTGACTCCGTCTGTTAAGCATCTGACTCTTGATTTCAGCTCAGGTCGTGATCTCACAGTTCATGAGTTCGAGCCCCGCATCGGGCTCTGCACTGACAGCGTGGAGGCGCCTCCTTGGGATTCTGTCTCCAATCTCTCTGTCCCTACCTCTCCCTCTTCTTTCAAAATAAGTAAATAAACTTTAAAAAACCCGGGGCTTGGGGGGAAGGTGAGGAGGTATGGCACATGGAATCTTCCCCTTTTTTGGAAACTGTGTCTGGTTGTAAGTAGCCCATTGGTCAGTTAGGGCCCATGGATATTTTGGGGTGGGTTGCCTGCTGGGCCTGTTTGTATTCAGCCAGGTGGTCACTGTGAGCCCTTTCTACATTTCATTGCTCAAGCCTGTTGTCTAAAAGCAGCCTCTACAGGTTATAATTTCTCAATTGTTTTCATTTAAAAGACATTTTTTTTTTAATGTTTATTTATTTCTGAGAGAGACAGAGAGAGACAGAGTGCGAGCAGGGGAGGGGCAGAGAGAAAGGGAGGCACAGAATCTGAAGCAGGCTCCAGGCTCTGAGCTGTCAGCACAGAGCCAGACGCAGGGCTTGAACCCACGAACTGTGAGATCATGACCTGAGCCAAAGTCCGACACTTAACTGACTGAGCCACTCAGGCGCCCCTCATTTTTTTTTTTTTTTTTTTTTTAAAGTAGGCTTCCAGTCCAGCACAGGGCTTGAACTCAGGGCCCTGCGATCAAGACCTGAGCTGAGATCAAGAGCTGGACGTTTAACCAACTGAGCCACCCAGGCACCCCTCAATTGCTTTTATTTATTTACTTATTTAACATTTTTATTTTATTTTATTTATTTTGAGAGAGACAGAGATAGAGCAAGTCGGGGAGGGGCAGAGAGAGATTGGGAGAGAATCTTAAGCAGGTTCTGTGCTGTCAGCGTAGAGCTGGATGTGGGGCTTGATCCCATGAATCATGAGATCATGACCTGAGCAGAAACCAAGAATCGCAGGCTTAACTGAATGAGCCACCCAGGCGCTCTGAATCATTTATTTAAATAACTCGTTCCTTGTTTTTGCTTCTGCAATAGTGTGATTTTTAAGAAATATCTATTTGGCCATTCAGATGACCAAAATATATTTCTCACGTATATATTTGGTCTTCATCCACAGTTCTGGGCCCACAGCCCCTCAGACCCTTGGAAATTCCCGAGGGTGATAAAGGTGCCTTTTATCATATAAATGAAAGTGACATTTGGACCCCACCCAAGGGTGGGGCTGGTTGCCCAAAGGGCAGACCTAGTTATTAGAGGATCGCAACTTTTAGTCTGACCTTGCAACCTCCTGACCTCAGGACCTGAACCCTGGGGAGCCGGGGAGGGGAGAGGGGCTGGAGGCGGAACCAGCCAATGGGCCAATGACTTAGTCAATCTGCACTAGGCACTGAAGCCTCTCGAAAAACCCAAGAGGACCAGGTTGGGAGAGCTGTGCTGGTGAACGCGACGAGGCTCAGGAGGAGTGGCGGCTGGAGAAGTCTGGAAGCCCCTGCGCCCTTTCCCCACACCTTGCCCCAGGCATCTTCATCTGACCCGGTGATTCACCAGCACACCCTTTACTGGTAAGTGTGAGGAAGTGTTTCCCTGACTTCTGAGAGCCACTCTAGCAAACGGAAAGGAGCTAAGGAGGAGGCGGCTGGGCCCTCCAGACCCTGGGCGCTGGGTGGGGAGCCCGGGTTGCAGCCTGTGACTTGTGAGCGGTGCGTGGGGTGGGCGGTGGGGGGGGGGGGGGGGTCTTGCGGACCTGAGACCCAGCCTGGGGGATCTGATGCTCTCTCTGGGTACGGAGTGTCGGAATTCCGTTCTCGGACACACTGCCGGCTTCCAAGACTTCTTTGGTGTTGTGTGGGAACCCCATTTCCCCACGTTGAGATCAGGAACAAGACAGAGCCCGATTCAGGGTTCAAGCTCACAAACCAGGAGATCGTGACCTGAGCCGGAACCCAGAGCCAGATGCTTAACCGACTGAGCCACCCAGGCGCCCCTATATATTACCTCTTTTTACACCATAGTGGCAAAGCATACATACTGTTCTGCACTTTGTGCATTTTACTGATCTATATAAAGATTATTTTATATCAGTATATAGTATTGTTTCATATATATATGTAGAGCTTACATTAATATATATATTACATTAAAAATATATATATATGTAGAGCTTACATTAAATCTTTGTGATCTTTGCCAAACTGATGGTTCAAAAAATGATATCTTGGTGTGTACCTAATTTGTAGTTTTCATATAATAAATGGACTGAGTGTGATAGCTCAGATTTAAGCCATTTGTATTTCTTTTTAGTTGAATTCCTTATTAATATCCCTTGCTCATTTTCTTTTAGATTATTATTGATCTGCAGGAGGCTTTTATATTTGGAGAAATTAATCCTTATGATATAATTTGCAAATACTTTCTTCCAGTTTTTCATTTACCTTTTGGTTTTACTTACGGTGTTTTTTGCTATACAGAAAAGTTTTATTTTATATAGTCAAATTTATCAGTATTTTATTTTAGGAGTTCTAGGAATTTCAAAATAGTCTAGGAGGCTTTTATACGGAGAGTATAAAGCATTGCCCCCATTATCTTGCAAAGCATTTTTTTTTTTTTTTGGTTAGTTATCCTGATATGTATTTGAGATATGGATCCAACTTAATTTTTTCCAAATAGATACTCAGTGGTTCTAGATTTGTAGGCAGATGATAATACAGTTGCAAAATATATAAAAAAATATTTTTCGAACTACAAGGAGAAATGAGCAAATGCATAATCTTGGGCAGAGACTTTTAACCCCTTTCTCTTAACAACTGATAGATCCGATATTTAAAAAGCCTAATACAAGGGATGCATTTCTAGCAAGAGTGATCAGAAGAAAAGGAAGAAGTCACAAAGAACCCTGTCAGAAATTTCAAAAAGTGCCATGCATGTAGGTTCTGTAGCCACTGAAATGATAGTAAGAGGATCTTGGGAATAAGTTTGCCAATAATGAAGTAACACGTTTCTAGTAAATCGAATTTGCTCGAGTGGCCACGGGAGTGAAATCGAGAATGTGTGAAGTCCTGTAACTGTTCAAACAAATTGAATCTAATGAAACACTTTTCCACAAAAGAAGTTCCAAGTTCAGAATGCTTTACCGTTTTGTTTCTAGATAGTATTTAAAGGACAAAGACCAACAGTCTTACACATACTCCTTCACAGAACTGGAAAAAAAAGTAGCACTTTACAGCCACGATAACTTCGATATCGATAATCTGCAAAGATATCGTGAGAAATAAAATTGATTGACCTGCCCCTTTCAGATGTAAAAATCCCAAACAAGTTATACTATTAATACATCAAATCACTCAACATGTAAAAAGGGTATGCATTCTGAATGAGTTGAGTTTATCTCAGTAAGACAGGGTTAGTATAATATTAAAATATCAATACGGTGTGGCATGTCAGCCGAATAAAGGAGCAAAATAATAGTGTTAATTGAATAGATGTAGTAAAGGCGCATAATAGAATCCAACATGCATTCATTTTGAAAGCTTTTTATAAGCTAGGAATACCAAGAAAGTATTCTTAATCTGGTCAAAATCGTCTATAAAAAACTACAAATGACATAATTCTCCTCCTCACTCCAAGACACAATCCTTTTTTAAAAATTGTTTTAATGTTTATTTTTGAGAGAGAAACAGAGAGACAGAGAGACAGAGAGACAAAGTGTGAGCAGGCGAGGGGCAGAGAGAGAGGGAGACACAGAGTCTGAAGCGGGCTCCAGGCTCCGCGCTGTCAGCACAGAGCCCGACGTGGGGCTCGAACTCACAAACCGCGAGATCATGACCTGAGCCGAAGTTGGACCCTGAACCAACTGAGCCACCCAGGTGCCTCTAGAGATTTTATTCTTAAGTATTCTCTACCCAACATGGGGCTCAAACATACAACCCTGACATAGAGAGTTGCATGCTCTACCCACTGAGCCAGTCAGGTGCCCCACGAAAACAAAATCATTTTAAAATCCCTACAAATTAGTAAAAAAGACAAGACTATCCAATATAAAAATAGTCAAGAAACTTAAACAGGAGTGTCACCATCTAAATGGTTTGTAAACATATGAAAACATGCTCAATCTTCTTACCAATTGGGGAATGAGAAATTAAAACTTCAATATGACACCAGTACATAACTTCTAGAATGTCTATAATTTATTTATTTATTTATTTATTTTTTCAACGTTTATTTATTTTTGGGACAGAGAGAGACAGAGCATGAACGGGGGAGGGGCAGAGAGAGAGGGAGACACAGAATCGGAAACAGGCTCCAGGCTCCGAGCCATCAGCCCAGAGCCTGACGCGGGGCTCGAACTCCCGGACCACGAGATCGTGACCTGGCTGAAGTCGGACGCTTAACCGACTGCGCCACCCAGGCGCCCCCAATTTTACTTTTAAATACATATTTAACATGGTGCACACAGATGTGTACCAGCAGACGTACAAGAATGTTCACATCTGCATTATGCATCACAGCCCCACGTTGAAAGCAATCCACAGGGTGCCTGGGTTGCTTAGTCTGTTAAGCGTCCAACTTTGGCTCAGGTAACGATCTTGGCGTTGGTGGGTTCCAGCCCCACGTCGGGCTCTGTGCTGACAACTCAGAGCCTGGAGCCTGCTTCGGATTCTGTGTTTCCCTCCCTCTCTGCCCCTCCCCTGCTCTCTCTCTCTCTCTCTCTCAAAAATTATAAACTTTAAAAAAGTAGAATACCATTTATATGAAATTCAAACTGAAAATCTCAATTAAACTTGAGATATACACTTAAAAATTATACAAAAAATGAAGAGGTGTGGTTGTCATAAAAGTGAGGATAATTGCTATGTTCAGTGGGGAGAAAGGGAATTATGATGGGAATGGGGTACAGAATCTGGGCAACTGACTCCTATTTCTTGTCCTAGGTGATAGTTACACAGTGTTGATAATAATTCATTAGGTGACACATTTGTGGTTTCTATGCTTTTGTGGAAATATAACATATTTAGTAGTAAAGATATATAAAGGAGGAACATATTTTACATCCTGTTTTAATTAATTAATTTTTTTAGTGTTTATTTTTGAGAGAGACACAGCGTGAGTGGGAGAGGGGCAGAGAGACAGAGAGAGAGAGAGGGAGACACAGAATCCGAAGCAGGTTCCAGGCTCTGAGCTGTCAGCACAGAGCCCGACACGGGGCTCGAACTCAGGAACCGTGAGATCATGACCTGAGCCGAAGTCGGACGCTTAACCTACTGAGCCACCCAAGTGCCCCTTACATCCTCTTTTATGTGTTAAGGTCAGAAATGCAACTGAAATAAAAATTTCATGAAATAATACCTTTACTATGTGTGATACACTCAGATATATCCGATTCTTTTCTCTCCTTTTGTCTTCCATCTCATTCCATTTTTATTTCTTTACTCGTTTTTGAGAGAGCACAAGCAAGGATGGGGCAGAGGAGGGGAGAGAGAGAATCTTTAGCTGGCTGTGCACCCAGTGCAAGGCCCTACTTGAGGCTTGATCCAGGATCTTGGGATCATGACCTGAGCCGAAATCAACAGTCAGATGCTGAACTGACTGAGCCACATGGATTCCCCCATCTCATTCCATTAAAAAAAAAAAAAAAAAACGCTGGCCATAAGCTACACCTTTTTATTCTATTTTATTTTATTTTATTTTATTTTATTTTACTTTATTTACCTATACCATGATTTTTTAATTAATTAATTAATTTTTTAATTTACATGCAAGTTAGTTAGCATACAGTACAACAATGATTTCAGGAGTAGATTCCTTAATGCCCTTTATCCGTTTAGCCCTTACCCACTCCCACAACACCTCCAGTAGCCCTCTGTTCTCCATATTTATGGGTCTCTTCTGTTTTGTCCCCACCCCTGTTTTTATATTATTTTTGCTTCCTTTCCCTTATGTTCATCTGTTTTGTCTCTTAAAGTCCTCATATGAGTGAAATCATGATATTTATTTGTCTTTCTCTGACCGACTAACTTTGCTTAGCATAATACCCTCTAGTTCCATCCACGTAGTTGTAAATTGGCCGTAGGCATTCACCCTGGCATTAAGAAACTCTTGGGGTTCCTGGTGTAGCGACTGAATTGATCCCAACTGAATTCCCAGTTGAATTCCAAGTTGGGATCAGAAATACCCATCTCTCTCTGGCAGGGTTGCTCACTGTCAACACCGCTGGCATTTGGGGCTGGATAATTCTTTGTTGTGGATGCTTGTCTTGTACACTGTAGGTACTTAGCACCGTCTCTGGTCTCTTCCTGCTAGGTGCCAGTGGGGGGGGGGGGGGGGGGGGGGGGGGGACACACACCTCCAGTTGTGACTCCCTAGCAGGCAAAATTACCTCTGTTGAGGGAACCACTACTCTAGAGGCTCTATAACTTTCTAAACTTGGCTCTGCCTTTATAAAGAATCCATAAGTTAGCATTTCTCGAACATCAGTGCACATTAGCGTCACCCGGATATTCTGTCTGAGAAGTGGGCTGGGAATGTGCCTTCTTGACAAAGATCCCAGGTGACTCTGATTCAGGTTATTTCCAAAGATCACACTTGGAGAGACATTGCCCTAAGATGACTGCCCTCTTGAATGAAAATTCCCTTGGAGGCATTAGAATGTTCCAGATATATTAGTTTTCAAGGGACAGGTCAATGCACCGGAAGATAATAAGCTTCTGCTGGGTAAGAAATCATGCAAAACATCCAAGGTCTCTTTAGGGGGCAGATCTGGTGCAGACACCGGTGAAATCACAGCCATGGGGTCTGTTCTCTGTGTCATTGTTCTGTGACGTGTGCGGAGCTCACCGGGGAGGGGCTGTGGAACCACAGAAACTGAGTCTGACCTTTCTGAGGCCGCGATTTCCCTGAAGCTCACCCAGAAGCATGAACCAGCATCCCTAGTAAAGACACTGCCGTAGCATTTGCCAATTACTTCATGCCTGATGGAGAAGCTGAAATGCCTCCCCATACTTCAGATTTTTTTTTTTTTCATCCCAGTTAATTGTTCTTCCTAAATTGAATGATCTATTTTTGGAACTAAAAGAGATGCAGTGTAGGGAGAGAGGAACCGACAAAGCCCAAGGCAGAGAGGGGAGGTAGTCGGAGGAAATGCAGGAATGAGAGGGGATACTGAGTGAATCATCTCCCCCCGCTAGCAAACACATCAAAAGAAGAGGAAGGGCGTTCTCCCCCTGCGAGCAGGTGGGTGACACAGGAGGGGCTGGGAGTCTTGCTGAAAAGATGAACACACGAAATGAAACAGGGCAAAATTCTGGGAGTCGTTGTGACCCGGAGGCTCAGGCCGTAAAAGTCATCGGGTGTTACCTTGGAGCTCTCTAGTGGGTGAGAGCGCATTCTTATCACCGAATCAGAAGATGAGAAACCCTGCTCCTTTACCCTATTTCCTACTGGAAATTTATTTGAAAAGCGCTGTGGCCTTAAAATGTGCAACTGTCTAGTGGACGTGATGCCAAGACTGGCGGGTCTTCGGATGCATTTCGTCCACAGGCGCGTCCGATGAGGCACGTGTGCCCCCAGATATGTGTATTTCTAGTGAACCCAGAGCTGGAAGTAACATCCCCCTCAGCCAGACCCTCTGGCTGTTACCAAAAACGCACTTGAAAAAAGGGTAGGCAAGTATTGGACCTGACCATCGGCGTGGATATCGGCATCATGCGTTTTATTGCCTCTGTAAATAATGCTTCTGTTAACTCCAGTGGCTTCCTCTGATCCTTCTGCAGCCTGAACGTCATGCTCAAAGCTTTGGAGCCTGCCCACGCTAGCCATCTCTGCTGCTTCTCCTGTCTAGGCATCTCAATTGTAGTTACATCTTTAAAAGACTGTCGTTTATGCTGTGAAATGTTTAGTAAAACTACAAAGCAGAACACACGTCATTTTCTTAAAAACACATAAGCATTTTGGCCTGCAAAAGAGACTACTCCGAAGGCAGCCAGCTTGACTTTAAAATGCATGGGGGAGGGGCGCCTGGGTGGCGCAGTCGGTTAAGCATCCGACTTCAGCCAGGTCACGATCTCGCGGTCCGTGAGTTCGAGCCCCGCGTCAGGCTCTGGGCTGATGGCTCGGAGCCTGGAGCCTGTTTCGGATTCTGTGTCTCCCTCTCTCTCTGCCCCTCCCCCGTTCATGCTCTGTCTCTGTCTGTCCCATAAATAAATAAAAAACGTTGAAAAAAAAATTTAAAATGCATGGGGGAAAGCAGAGACCTTTCCAAGGCCCATACGACCATGCCATTCCTTTCACCCCTCAGTGGATATTTTAACGACGCGTGTAGTTCACTCCTGAAATGATTCAACTAAGGAAAGGGAGAGGCGGCCGACCCCTGGCTACGTTTGCCTTGTACCTGCCGCGGGGGGTCCGGAAGAGGAGCTCCTTGACTGTCCAGGGCATCAGTTTTTCCCGTTCTGCCATTTTCGTCCAAGCATCCAGGGGGTAGAACATCCGTATTTCTCTGTGTGTCCGAGCGGTTGATCTCCAGCCACTTTACCAGGAGACTCTAACACCACAGGGGTGGAGAATGGAGCATGCGCAAAGAAAGGAAAGAGCGTGGGAATGATAGTGTTCAACCAAACAGGCTTTGCAGATCCCTTTCACGCCAGGTTATAACACAAGGGTTGCAGGATCGAAAGATCCTTGCTTTCTTCCTCACGCACGTCCATGTTCGGGCTGATTGAGTAAACTTCCGTTTGGTTCTGGATAGCTTCTAAAGGAGATGAGGTCCTATAGTGCAGTGACAAAGAATACGGGCTTTGCAGCGGGCATGCCTGGGTTGAGATTTTGGCTTCATCTAGATTCGTGCAACCTTGGGAAAACCGAGTGACCTCGAGTCAATGACCACCTCTTTATGCATATTGACTCCTCTGTAAAATTAGAATAACAGTAGTGTGTGTCACTACTGTGAGGCTGAAATGTGTAGTTGGATGGAAAAATAGCTGGAATGAGGGGCGCCTGGGTGGCTCGGTCGGTTGAGCGTCCGACTTCAGCTCAGGTCATGACCTCGCGGTTCGTGAGTTCGAGCCCCGCGTCGGGCTCTGTGCCGACAGCTCGGAGCCTGGGGCCCGCTTCAGATTCTGTGCCTCCCTCTCTCTGCCACTCCACCGCTCACACACAGTTTCTGTCTCTCTCTCTCTCTAAAATGTAAATAAACATTAAAAAAATTTTTTTTTAAAATTTTTTTTTTCAACGTTTATTTATTTTTGGGACAGAGAGAGACAGAGCATGAACGGGGGAGGGGCAGAGAGAGGGAGACACAGAATCGGAAACAGGCTCCAGGCTCTGAGCCATCAGCCCAGAGCCTGACGCGGGGCTCGAACTCCCGGACCGCGAGATCGTGACCTGGCTGAAGTCGGACGCCCAACCGACTGCGCCACCCAGGCGCCCCAATAAACATTAAAAATTTAAAAAAAGATAGTTGGAATGGTTGGTTCTGGTCTACTCATTACGAAAAATAGAAGTTATATTGTTGGTGTTATTAGTATTATCTCTTTTATACATTCAAAATCACTGACAATGATGTGGGAGATTGAATTCTAACAAATTCTGGGGAGAAATATCAACAGTCAGGGATGGGGTGCTCCCCCTATCCATAGGTATTGAGATAGCTCACACTTTGAGTAACCCCGTCAAGTCCTTCCAGAACCTCTCTGGATTGTATATTTCTGGAATGCCCCTGGGAGTGTTATAAAGCATATTCATCTGGATTCAAAGATGGGATATTTTTTTTTCTAGAATTGCCCTGTGACATTCTATCTTGAGTTTGTTCTTTCCGGGGAGTCTAACAGGAGTAAGAAATGGAAATGTTTCCGGTTATTTGAATGTGGTTCAGGTGTGGGTCCTTATTCACTTCTGTTACCATGTGTTTGGTCAGGAGTTGAGTGTTGTTTTTGGCACTTAAGTTGTCAAATCCACCATTAATTGAATAATCCGCTTAACCCTGATTTTCTGGGTCCACAGCTGGTTATCGTGGCTATACTTCTGCTATTTTTATATTGTTTTTATTTCAGATGTAGGAAACATCTACGCTGCAACTGTCTCTGTGGCCTAGTCTCACCTCAAAATCTGGTCCGGGGATCTTTTTTTTTTTTTTTTTTTTTTTTAAGGTTTTATTTATTTATTTTTGAGATACAGAGAGACAAAGCATGAACGGGGGAGGGTCAGAGAGAGGGAGACAAAGAATCTGAAACAGGCTCCAGCTCAGAGCCTGACGCGGGGCTCGAATTCACGGACTGCGAGATCATGACTTGAGCCGAAGTCAGCCGCTTAACCGACTGAGCCACCCAGGCGCCCCATCTGGTCCAGGGATCTTGATGGATTACTCTTTATGAGTGAGTAGAAGAATAAAAAGACCGTGTTCATTCACTGAAAGTGTATTTGCTCATTGAATATTTACCAAGCCCCCATTATACATGTAAGTTACTGTGTTTGCTATTGAGAACAGACTGTTGACTGAGATGGACCCCGCCACCTGCCCTCATGGGTGCATTTTGGTGGGAAAAGTACAGCGGTTGCTCTGTGACTATGTAATGAAGGCATGAGACCAAATCTGAGCGGTCAGAGATGTTTTCTTGAAGAAGTAACATCAAGCTGAGGTTTGAAGGATGAATAGGCATTTATTAAATGGGGAGGAAGAGAAGAAAGAGGCAGAAGGAATAGCGTGTATGGCCCTGGGCATGGCAAGAACACGGTGAAATGGTGTGAAGGAAGGTGGATGCAGAGAAGAGGGGGGAGTTGGATGTGAGACAGGGAGAGGGAGGCAGAGACAGGGCAGGCAAGGACTCAAGGCCAAGTGAGGAGTTTGAGCTTGACCCAGAAACAATGGGAAATCACGAAAGAGAGTGACCTGATCAGAACGGTGTTCTTTTTTCAAAAAAAAAAAAAAAATTTTTTTTTAATGTTTATTTATTATTGAGAGACAGAGAGACACAGAGCGTGAGCAGGGGAGGGGTAGAGAGAGGGGGAGACACAGAATCGGAAGCAGGCTCCAGGCTCTGAGCTGTCAGCACAGAGCCCGATGCGGGGCTCCGACCCACAAACTGTGAGATCGTGACCTGAGCCGAAGTCGGTCGCCCAACCGACTGAGCCACCCAGGCGCCCCAGAATTGTCTTCTTAAACACACTGGCTACCTTGTGGGGGAGAGAGAGTTCGGACATAGGGAAAATGTTGAGTAGACCGTTAGTTTGGAGGAATTGTGAACAGGGGCTGTGGCAAGGTAGATGTGGATAGAAATGGGTACAACTGAGGAACATTTAGGAGATGAATTGGTATTGGTGATAAGAATCGCTGAAGAGGTATTGGTGATAAGAATACGGGAGGCGAGATTGCATACTTAACCATGAACCAGACTTCTGGTGGCCATCATCACAAAACAAGGGTTCGCTGCAAGAGAACCCAGTTAGGCGAAGTAGGGACAACATAGACTCGGTTCTGAACTCGTAAATTTGTGAAACCTTGGCAGGGGTGGTTTATAAATGATTAGCAACTGGCTCTCCAAAAAGAAGAAGAAGAAAAAAAAAATCCCTGAATTTGTAGCGTTGGCCAATTTCCGTAGTGTAAAAACTCCCATCGTGGTGGATTTCAGCCTAGCCATCGCACGACGGCCTTGAACGTGGAGTTGTGAAGAGATGCTTACAGCGAGCCCTCATGAGCCAGTGTAGCCTGGCTCCAGCACGCCAGTGACTGAAGAGACATCTAGAAGGAAATGACAAGAGGGGGGCGGATGTGTAATTATTGGGCTTACAAGGAGTGGTCCCGGTCAGGGTCCGCAATCATCAGTGTGTGAATGAGAATGCATACTTTGTGGAGTCGGAGTGTCTGGGTTGGTACCCAGACCCTGCCCTTATTAGCTTTAAGATTGGGGGAAAATTACTTAGCCTCTGTAGGTCTCAGTTTTCACACGTGTGAATGGGGATGATAACAGTAGGTGATTCATAGAGTAGCTTCCAGAGACAAGCGTATGGAGATGGAGTTGCCACACCTGTCGGTTTGTCGTACGCATGTGCGGAATGAAATCCTTTCTTGTTGTTGTTGCTGTCTTTACCTTTACGTTTGTTTTATTTATTTATTTTTTTAATTAAAAATATTTTTTTTTAACATTTACTTATTTTTTAGAGACAGAGAGAGAGAGAGAGACAGAGCATGAGCAGGGGAGGGGCAGAGAGAGAGGGAGACAAGGAATCCGACGCAGGCTCCAGGCTCCGAGGCATCAGCACAGAGCCTGATGCGGGGCTCGAACTCACGAACCGCGAGATCGTGACCTGAGCCAAAGTTGGATGCTTAACTGACTGAGCCACCCAGGTGCCCCACTTTTACGTTTGTTTTAAATGTGCTCTCCCTTAGGTTGGTTATTTCTCTTGATAACTTCTCCAAGTTTGTAAGCATGTATGAACATTTTGGGATTCTAGTCTAACTGTCACTAAGGGCTGTGTGGCCTTGAGTGGATTACCTAAACTCTCTAGGAGTTAAATTTCACCTTTGTGATACTAGATCATGCCAGACGAACTCTGAGGGCTTTCTTAGACCCTAAACGATATATGATATGACCTTTCGCAAATCCTAAAATTCTTGGTCATCTTTGATATCTTTCTTTCTCTCACCTCCTGAACCCAATTAGATTTCAATTCTTGGGGCGCCTGGGTGGCGCAGTCGGTTAAGCGTCCGACTTCAGCCAGGTCACGATCTCGCGGTCCGGGAGTTCGAGCCCCGCGTCAGGCTCTGGGCTGATGGCTCGGAGCCTGGAGCCTGTTTCCGATTCTGTGTCTCCCTCTCTCTCTGCCCCTCCCCGTTCATGCTCTGTCTCTCTCTGTCCCAAAAATAAATAAACGTTGAAAAAAAAAATAAAAAAAAAAATTAGATTTCAATTCTTGTCCATTTTGCGTCAACAGTCTCTCTCATCCCTGACTTTTCTCCACCTCTGCCTCCAACTCTCCATCTCTGTCCTCTGCCACTTTATTGTAAGCTCTTGTTACTGCTTGTCAGACTATTACGGTGGCCCTCATCAGGTCTGGGACCACTAAAGTGGCTCCCTAGACAGTCTTCCTGCTTCCTTGTCATTTCTCCTTTTAGTGCGTTTTATAACATTGCCAATTAAACTCTCCACGTTTGTACTTACTTTTTATTCTCATGCTATGTCCTTCTTTTAAGGCTAATTCAAATAATAGTCTGTTCTTTAATATCAGCTTTTGATCATCTACTCTTGTGAAATTTATTATTCACGCTAATAAACACCATCATCATACCATTTCTCTTAAATGCTAAGCGTATAAAAAAAAAATCCTGGTTCTTTTATCAGGGTGGTTGGTGTATATAGAAATTAAACTGCTTGTAGGTCTTTTTTTTTAATTTTTAGAAAGACCATTTTCCATACACAAAAGAGTTGAATAAACGTGGCAGTCGATTCTTTTGTGAAGGCAGCAAGCAAAAATTTGTCGTTTTGGGATTTGATATTTTTTCAACACAAAAACACAGCCATCGTCTTCTTTTTGTTTCATTCACCTCGTGAGTTTTGGATGCGTTTCGCAGGCATATCTGTTGTATTTTTTTTTCCTTAAGGTCAATGGATCCATAATCCATAAATTAAGGAATGATTATCAACGTGTCATTTTCTAATAATCTGCTGGTTCTGTGTTATGACATCACTTAAATATCCGAGTTGTAGTTCTGGAGACTACTTGCTTGTTTCCTCTTGGACCAAGAGATTGGTCTCCTACAAGTAATTTAAGTGGAGTCGAAATCCAATTAACTTCACAATTCCATGAACCGTAACATCATTTTAGCAAATGATTCTAGTTAGAGTATTAGGAAAACCCAAGTCATTGCTTGCTTCCTTCAACAGTAGACAGAGGGGAGGAAACAAAGAGGAGGGGGGGGGGAAGTAGTTCCAAACATCTATTTTTCCAGTTATTAGACAGAGTATTGGAGAAGACAGCTGGAGACTGATACAGTCTTTAAGATGTCATATGATTTCTGGGCGTCTCTTTCTGTCTCTAAAAGTGGAGTACAGGAGTATAAAACACGCCCATGTGACATTGGTCAGCTTTCAGGGTACCTCATTCTGCAAAGTGAGAAAAATGTTGATTCTTACATTGTTGTGTCTAATATTGGGATACATTTTAGGATAAAATCTATTTTTCTATTATTATGTTTATTTGCATAATGGCATCAGCCATATCTTGGACCAGTAAGCCATTTAGAAACGCATCTTTGAAATATTTGAATCCATGTCTTTATTTACATATTTGTGTATGCGTGTGTGCGTATAAATATAGGTGTATGTGTCATGTCATTCACATATATACTCACATATAATATATAGAAAGAGAGAGGCGTTGCTTCAGTGGCAGGGTGTTTTTGTTTGTTCGTTTCTAATCTGCTAAAATGCCTGTCTGGGAATAAAACACTTTTTTTTTTTAATGTTTATTTTTGAGAGAGATAAAGAGAGAGACAGAGTGTGAGCAGGGGAGGGGCAGAGAGAGAAGGAGACACAGGATCTGAAGCAGGCTCCAGGCTCCGAGCCATCAGCACAGAGCCCGATGCAGGGCTGAACTCGTGATCCGCGAGATCCTGACCTGAGCCGAAGTCGGATGCTCAACTGACTAAGCCACCCAGGCGCCCTAGGAATAAAACGCTTTTTAATTTATTAGCCCCTAAATTTTTAGTGTTTTTTTTTCCTTGTGAAATCAAAGTTCAGTGAACCTGAACTTTCATGTCTTCTTAGTAGTTGAATGTGGCAGAATTTTGGCATGATATAGTGATATTGAGGCATGTAAGAAGAAAAAATTCTACCTTCTAAGAGTTAATTTTTTAACTAAATAAACATTAAGAACAAGAACAAGTATTTGCTTTTGTAGTAAATTCTGCAGTGAGAAAGAATGAATATCTGGGAATAAGATAGCGGTGTTTCTGACTTAATGTGAAGGGTGCAGTCTTGCAAACTTTTCTGTGGAACACATGTATGTCGCATGAACCTTACTTCCTTCTCTCATAAAACCTGAGCCCCGGGGATAAATAAATGGTCTCTACGTGTGTAGTAATGTTAAATTTGTGTATCATAATCGGATGGTGAATTCTTTTGAATT